TTTATATTCTTTTAAAAATCTTTATATGTCCTAAGAACGGTGAGGTGGTTGGTACGCACGAATGTGATGGAAATGTCATAGCTCTTTCACAATGCAGCAAAAAACCATAGGCATCAAGGATATCAATTAACTTGTCACCAAACATTTGAATCTTCACCTAAAGAAACATTACCATAGAAATCTTTATTATTGGTTTTCCTCTCGCAAATAGCTGGAGCATCAAGCATGACATTGTGTTTTTCCCATCTGCATAGGTCTGATGCGGTGAAATTAAAGATGATTAATCAAACAAATCACAAGAATCACTCTAAAAATATGCAGACGAAGAGTGTACCATGTAAATGAGAACTCTGAGCAAACCGAGAGCCCCAACAAGGTGGCAATCAGCTAATCACAGTCACAGGTCTATCTAAAAGCTAATCACATGACACAAAAGTGTTTACCTTTTTGCTTTCATTTGAAGCTCAGAAGCTCGGAGGTATAGTTCACCTCTTACGGCATACTGACACTTCGAGTTTTCATTCAGAGCATCGTAGCCAAAAGTGTTTACTCTTCAGGTTTTCATTCAGAGCATCGTAGTCTAAAGCCATTTTATCTTCACACTTAAAGACAATCGCTATCTCAGTTAAACCTTAATCGAAACAAAAGAGTTTTGTGTGAGAATCCATGAAGTCACATCACCAATTCAAAACCCGGAAACCAGGAAACGATTCGATTATCAAAACTAACTGATCTTAAAAAAACCTAATTTCAGTACTAATTCGTAATCATTAAGAATCACCTAAGAGTACAAAGAAAGGCGATGACTTTTCAAATGGCAATTGCAAATCATTGATCAACTGAGGATTTCATGATCGACCAAAGAAGAGAGAAAAACGATTGAACAAGAACATTGCTCGTATGGAGAGATGGATGCGACTGTTGTCATCATTCCGATCTGAGATCGACGGGAGTGCAGATAGACGGGGAGATTGATTGTGAGCTCTCTTCGATTTCGCCCATGAGAGAACCAGTTTTCTTCCAGATATGTCCTGATGGTTTGATGAATTGGATGAACGATGTGTCTAAATTTTCCTTTTCTAAATAAAAAAAATGACAGGTCACATTTCTAGCGTGGCATTGTTTTGCACTAACTTTTATTGTGTAAGCGACACATCAGCTGTTTTCAGTAACAGTGCTTGTCAAATAATGTATAAGATTTTATATTTAATTTATCATTATTTTTGATTATTAATTATTATCTTATTATTAATACATAATTAATCATGTACAAATAAAACATTTTCATTACTATATTAATCATAATTGAACATATAAAATATTTTATAGTCTGCACACAGTGCAGACCGATTTACCTAGTATCAATTATTTGAAGTCATATCTTCCAAATGCTGTTACATGATCTTGGTAATGATTCCCAAATAAACCATTTTATATATCGAAATTATTATGTATATCAAATCAAAATTTTGAACTACACTACTAACAATAATTCCTCCCATCAATTACGGAAGGTAAATATCAACTGTATTTTTTTTTTCTTAACCTACAAGACTGTTATCGCCCTACTACCCATCGTCTTCTTGATTTTTTCTTGCTCAATATCATAAATTGTTCAGGAAAAATGACTTCTAAAGGTTTCACATACTTTAAGAATGCCAAATCATTCAAACGAGCTAGCGAGAAGAGGTGAAAATATTGCATTCCTGGAAGTAATACACGCCCAAAGGTGGAGAGTCGTTAGAGCTGATATTAGCAGATGTAAATGTGAGTTACTATATATTCGTTTTTGAAATAATTATTCAGTATTCACTATATTACATGTATATAAACACTTAGTTCCTAACAAATAGATGTTTAAGATTAATTTTTCTTAATATTATTGCAGTAAGTCTAAGCAAGCTCGACAAAGAAAGGAAAATGAGGTTTTGAAGATTCAAATGATTGATGCTATCATTAAGATGTTAGATGTTGTTAATCCATATATTCAGAATTTCAGAATAGCGAGAGAGAGAGAGAGATTTGATACTAACCCGGAGCAAACATTTCACATGAGCATAGTCAGCAAACGTCCTATAAATAGAAGGACTTACAATATCCCACAACATTTGAAGTTGCTGCACTGATTACAAGTGATTTTAAATTAGGAATAGACAAGCATGATATTCTTTTTAAAATGCAAACTGGGCGGCTTAGAAGGATTAGTGAAATTCATTCCTTATATATTGCTCTTTAGTATCTTATTATATTCTCATATGATAAGGATGATTATAGACTCGGTATTAAAAAAAGGAACACAAAAATGGGTAGACAGCTAAGAATAGTAAAATTTCCATAAGACAATTTTTTTCATATCATATTTAGGAAATAAATAATAAGAGTCAAATACTTCTCTATTATATGTGATTGTTTCACCAGTTTCTAGTTTATGCACATACAATGATAAAATATTACCGAATACCCTATTTAAGGACGATTTAAGGATGAATCAGTCGTCCTTAAATTCAGATAGTCATGACTCTAAAAGAGTCTGAAAATGCTGGTAGGTGATCAAAGAAATCAATTCGTTTAACTAGCATCATTCATAGATGGATCTAGATACATGAAGAATAACTATCTTGATAGATAGATCTTTTTATCATTTTCACCTATAACCCAAAGTGGTCGAAGGTCACTAGATATATTTAGAGTCGCAATTTAAAAACAGAGGATATACCATATATTATATGCCAGATTTTTAAAATAAAATTCAAAATCTTTACTAAATGATTTAGAAAAGAAGAAGCTTCTAAAAAGAAATTCTTGTAAGTGATTTTATCATGAAGTTTTATCATAAAATTTTACAATTTTTGATCATTTTAAATACTTTTGGTTAATATTTGTTACTCATGTACTTTTTAAGAACTACTAGATTTTAATCGATTTAGTGGAATGAGGATAGAGATGAAGCACCACCACTGAACCACTTATTTTCTTTTATTAATTATTTTTTCAAATTTCTTATTTATATCATATTATTAATTGAGAAGCAAGTTGGGGAGTTATGATGGTTGATTACTTTTTACCTCTTATATGAAATAATTTTATTTACCCTTAATGAAATTAACAAATTAATATAATCTAATTTTTAACTAATTTTTGTTTTTAATCTAGATTTCCAAATTCGAGTTTATATCATAAAAATATACAGTTTACTAAAAAAGATAACTAGCATAAATCACACAAAAATTCGATCCTAATTATTTTTTTAAAACTAATTTTAATTTAATTGTTTAACATACTAATATTTTTGACTAACTTAATTGATTTATAAGGCCACAAGTAAAACCTCAAATCCTCTAAACTTTTTTGAAACTCTGTATATATTAAAACAAAGTTTTCAAAACAATCTAGATCAATTGACGGTCGTACGTCTCTCTCTAGATTTCTAATCTTTTTTTCAAAAAAAACAGTCGTAGAAGATTTGAAGTTACAGTTTTATTGAGAGTTTTGTTTAATGCAACAAAACAACAAAGCATACATATAAATTTTTATCAGATAATATAAAGATATTAAAAAATAAGATATAAATAATATTTTGCTACCACAAAAAATATACGTGTGAAAATTATATATTTCAAATATATTAATTTTGATTTTGAATAATTATAAAATCTGATTTTTTCATCTATAAATAAACTAATATTATTAATTTTTAAAAAATTTAATCGAACTCTGCACAAGATGCGGGAAACACCTAGGCTTCAACTGGTGACCAAGGGAATGAAGGAGAATAATGAATTCCTCTTCATTACTTAAATTTTTTACCATTTGCTAATTATAATATTCCCCTATCATTCTTTCTTATTCATTATCATATAAGGAATTATAGAACAAATGTATTCCTTATTAAAATTGGAGAAAAACAAATTATATGTATTTACTTCCTTAAATATTTTTCATTTCTATTCATTCTTTTTCTTTTGTTCCTTTTATTCTTTTCCTTTTCATTTCTATTCCTTTTTATTGGTCACCTGTTAAAGTCCTAGTATAAAATAATTAAAGTTTTGATGGTAAGTTTCAACCCACTTCGATAAAAAACAAAAAAAAACCTACTTAGACCAACCCCAATGCAGATCTGCAGGGTCTAATAATAAGTTTTTAATAATATAACTGAATTAAAATATTATATAGAGTGTCTAATCTTTTAGATGAGAGTCTAAAATAGAATCTCTTTTCTTAGTTTAAGAACACATGTGAATGAAAAAAAAAATAATACAAAAAAAAAAAACTATCAAATATTAATAAATTAATTATTAAAATCCCATAACAATGATGTTACCATTGGGGTTCTCGGAGCACTTCTTGTTTTCTTATTACAAACAGTTCCCGTTGTCACGCACTTTCCTTCCTATCCTTTTTCCACTTTCCGGTGGTAAAAATGGATTTATCTACAATATCCCGTAGGATCTTCTCCTTCTATCTTATCGGGACCCACTCCCCATCTCTCTCTCTCTCTCTCTCTTTCTCTCTTCCTCTTCCACAAGTCATCTTCTTTCTCTCTCTCACACCTCCGAATCTTGTTCCTTCTGATCCTCTGTGTCTTAACATCTCTACTTGATTTCCCTTCGTGCTTCACCGTCTCTGTTCCCTTTCTAGTGTTTTCTCCTCCAAATCCCGCATGAAACTAGCTTCTCTTCGACCCGACCCAACCCGACCCGACCCGAGCTCATCTTAGTCTTCGAGCTTAAGGTCTGATAGTTTCTGGTGTTAGCGCGTGGAACTTCCTTGTCCTTGGTGTGAATTTTTCTTGAGTTGATTTTTAATTCCATTTTCTTTGATCTATGAGATCTGTAATAGTCGGTGGAGCTGGTGTATATGAATTTCATGTGATCGGTGGGTTGGTTTCGTGAAGTTTGTTGATGTCTTACAAATTTTAGGTTAAATTATTGGGAGATTGGGAAGGGTTTTGTGCATTTTAAGGGAATTGAGATTACTAGGGTTTCTCCAATTTTAAAGCAAAGGTTTGTGTGATGAAGAGAGGGAAATATGAGGAGAAGATACTTGAGCCGATGTTTCCTCGACTTCATGTGAACGATGCTGATAAAGGAGGGCCTAGAGCTCCTCCAAGAAACAAGATGGCTCTCTATGAGCAACTTAGCATCCCTTCTCAGAGGTTTAGTAGTGATCATGGATCGTTGCCTCGTAACACCAGCACTTTGGTTCCTCCTGTTGGATCATCTAGTCAGGTATTGTTGTGTTTAGTAATAGTTTTTCTTTTTGTGGGTTTGGGAGTTGTGGAAACTGGTGTTTATATAGCTTGCAAGAAAGAGTAGGAGTTGATTGGTCAATGTACTTGCTAGTATTTCCATGTTTTGAATTGTTTTTGCTTATGGATTTGAACTTTTTTGATTGAATTCTCTTGCACAAATTAGAGTTTAGTGAAGACAATTATATCCTAGTGTGAATGACTAAAGAGGTTTATCTTGTAAAGCTAACATTCTTGTTGAGCCTAATAGTTTCGATAGAAAAATATTGGTTTTCAAAGATGTATGTTTTTGACTTCCAGTGTTTGATTTGTTTATAATGTTGACGACTAAGCTCATCCATCGTTAGATCTGATGGTTTGACAATAATTATAAGTTTCTCTTGTGAAAGATTCTTTATGTTCTGAAGTTTCATGATTGCTTCTTGTAAATTGTAATTGGTTTGAGCATTCTTAGCTATATCAAATCTTGTTGCTGTATTTGACTCGATAGGAACATGGAAAATAATCTTTTCCTGCTCTCTTTTCTGCAGCCTTGTAGCGTGGAAAGAAACTTATCTGCCCAGCATCTTGATTCTTCAGCTGCAGTCCATGCAACTGAGAAGTTTGTCTCCCAAATGTCGTTCATGGAAAATGTGAGAATTTTGGCACAGCATGATCAGAAAAAATTAGTAAGAGAGGAGGATGATTTCGCAGTTCCAGTATTTATTAACTCAAGAAGATTTCAGTCTCATGGCAGAACCAAGAGAGGTGTTGAGAAGGAAAGACACACCACATTGGTCAAGGGGAGCGCTAAGCGAGGTGGCTTTGTAAACTCTGTGGATGTATCAGCTACAGAGGAAATGGATCTTGAAAAATCATCATCGAGTTGTGACAGAGTTAATGATTGTAATGATTCCTTGAGAGAGGAGTCTAGAAATAGGTTAGGCCGAGATGGTGGTGAAACTCGAGCGATGGACACTGATAATGGAGTTGAATCTCACTTGGGATCAGAATGTCATTCAGAAGAGGGTCATGACAATCCTAATGACGTTGATAATGGTCGTGAATACTGCACAAGTAGAGGATATGTCTCTCTGCAGCAGATAAATGAAGAGGCGAGCGATGATGTTTCTGATGATTCGATGGTGGATTCTATATCCAGCATAGATGTCTCTCCTGATGACGTTGTGGGAGTATTAGGTCAAAAACGTTTCTGGAGAGCAAGGAAAGCTATTGCCAAGTAAGTTCACTAGATTTCTGCTTAACTTGGTTTGATATTTTTCCGCTCTCTCTATCCATCTCTTCCTTTAATGTTACATTGGCTACTTGCAAGAAAATAAAACTGACGAATTGTTCCCTAAGGGATATTTCACTCACTAAATTTGGAGGATACAATCTTTTACTTTTTCTTACTCTTGTACTGCTTAATGATGCAATGGTTATCTCTCAGTTTTATATTGTGTTTTGTTTTCGGAGAAAAGATTTCGGATTATTTTGCGTGAGAAATCATGGTTCTATAGTGGAATGTCCCCCTGATTCCTCCCAAAATGGTCCTATTATATGGTTGTTGAAGAGCCGTCGGTAACATATTAACGCATTTAACACATTGGATCATGTTAGCAGGGGGGGACGTACATTGTGCAAGGTGCCCGCCGAGACAGTTCATGGCTTTATACTGTGTCTTCTTTGCTTCTGCTAGTTGGAACATGTCCCTGTCTCGGTTTGGTATTACTTTTATTCTGCACTGTCGTCTTTGGCATTTTCCCTTCTTATCATTCAAAGGGTTGAATCAGGTAGGGGAACATGCTTTCGAGGACCCCAGGATCTAAATTTTAGTTAACCATACATAAAGCTAGTTATGAGTCTTACGACAATGCAGAACTATAGTTGCTTCTTGCTATTCTTAAGAGGATCCTTAGGGTCGTTGTGACTCAGGTTTTAAGATCATTCTAGGTATTCTTATCGCTATGGTAAGGTGTCGGGGTAAGCTAGATATCAGTAAACCTACCCCCTGCATAATGTGTCCTTACTTTTTATTTTTCCTTTCTTTTGTTGAAAGTTTTCTGATTATTTATGCTATAATGTGTCCTTGGACTCTTTGATTTGTTTTTCCATCATTGTTAATTACAGTGCTATGTATTCTTGCTGCTGTTTAATTTCTCTTTGCTTAACTCTTTATGGGTTATCTTCTTAATATGACTCTGTCTTTCCTTACAGTCAACAAAGAGTATTTGCTGTTCAACTATTTGAGTTGCACAGACTGATTAAGGTAAACTCCATTCAGAAAACTTCTCCTACGTTTCATGAATATATGTTTTGTTTCGGTCTGAACAAACATACTTTGTTTTCTTAATAACCAGGTACAAAGACTTATTGCTGCATCACCGGATGTCTTGCTCGATGACATCAGTTATCTTGGAAAAGTCGCTGTTAAAAGCTTTCCAGTGAAGAAGCTCCTTCCATCAGAGAAGCCTCCTCTACCACAAGTTATCAAACACAGCGGCCGCGACTCCGCGGAGAAGACCGACCAACATAAAATGGAATGCTCGGCTGAGAACGTAGTCGGGAAGATGTCAAACCAAGTTCATCATCAACCTTCCAACTACATGCCTTTTCCGAGCAACCAAGCCACTGCTAATGGATGTTACTTTCCTCCCCAGCCTCCTACTTCAGGAGGAAATCAGCAATGGTTAATCCCTGTAATGTCTCCTTCCGAAGGTCTGATATACAAGCCGCATCCAGGTCCAGGACACACAGGACCTCCGGTCTGTGGAGGGTATTATGGTCATTACATGCCTGCTCCTATGGTAATGGGTAATTTCATGGGCGGTGGTGGTCAACCTCCGTTTCACCCGGGGATGGGCCTTGCATCTCTGGGTAATGGCTACTTCCCTCCTTATGGTATAATGCCACACACCATGATGAATACTTATTGCTCCGGCCAACAACAACAACAACAACCCAATGAGCATATGAATCAGTTTGGGCATTCAGTAAATCTTCAGAACGCATCAGGTTTGAACAACCAACAACAGAGCTCGGTTAACGAAGAGGCGGCGCAACAACAGCCGGCGAAATCATATCATCGGGCTAGAAAGAGCAGGCAAGGGAGCACAGGAAGCAGCAGTTCAGAGGGAATCTCCGGTAAGAACTCCTTTCGGCCATTCTCAGCGGTTGATGAGGACAGCATCAACGACCAACCTGAGCAAATGATGACGACAACGACGACCACAACAAGAACAACTGTTACTCAGACGACAAGAGATGGAGTAGGAGGAGTGACGAGAGTGATCAAAGTGGTTCCACACAACGCGAAGCTGGCGAGTGAGTATGCTGCAAGGATTTTCCGGTCAATTCAAGAAGAACGTAAACACTACGACTCCTTCTCTAACCACTCTTAAGCCTCTCTCTCTTTTCTTTATCTTTTATTTGGTAAATTGTGTTTACAACTCGATATGTACTTTAAAAATGTAGAAAATTGTGATAGATATCATTCTAAAAATATGTCCAATGTAAAACGTATGAAAGCTTGCTTGTCACAATCATATTTAAAGCCTTATAAATATATATATATATACCAAGAACATAAACCAACACCATATTTACATTAGCTTCTTTCTTATTTCTCTGAGATTTATACCAAGATCATAAACCACACCATAATTACATTAACTTGTGTACATAGGAAGATTTACATTAAGACATTAACACAGATGTTATTATCATCATCAATAAGGAGATGCGGGGCACTGATATTGACATATATCGGGGGCGGAGAAGAGGATCAAGCACTGAATCCGCGGTGAAGGGAGCTCCAAGAACCGGCCGGGATAGTGGGACAAGCCTGCATAGCTGCCTCCTCCATCTGCTCCATTTTAATCCCTGCGTTGCATATGTTTGCTATGGACCTCATGTGCTTGATTCCGTACTGCGACAATGATCCACAATGGCTCTCGAAAGCTCTCACCTAACAATGACATCAAAGGAGAAGAAAATGTGTGAATCTTTTATCAAAAAAAAAAGTGTGAATCATCACAAAAAAAAATAAAAATCGAAAACCATGTGTTTATCATCATATCTAGGTCTGCCACTTTTACCCAACCCAAACTTTTTGAACCAAACCGAACCGAGATTTTCGGTTTTCAGTTTTGGTTCGGTTACTTAGATTAAACCAATCGGTAGTCGACCGACCAATTAGTTAACCATATTTTTCTAAACGAATATTTTAAACCAAGATATACCTAACCATACAAATCATCTAATTAGTTTACATAAACATATTCATTAAACAAAAAATATTAAGTATGATTAAAATCTTAATTTCATTTTAAAACTAGAAAAATTAAATAAAAAGTTAAGTAACAAATAAAAAATAAAATTATATTAAAAAACCAAAAATTAGTATCCTTAAAAATAAAATAAAAATTTGTTTTCGAAAGAGTTAAAATAACAAAAAAAAACCAATAGCATAAAAGTTCAAACTTATAATATAAATTAAAAAAATTTTAACTTCTAAATTAATTGACAAGAAAATAAAAACATTGATTTCGTTTTATAGATGAAAAAATCAAAATAAAAAAATTTAAGTAACAAATAGGAAAAAAAATTATGTTAAAAAAACCAAAAACTTAAATTGGTATACATAGATAAAATATTAAAATCAAAGCATACATATTGTACACAAAAGATAAAAATAGTGAGAAATAATGCAAAGACTCCACACCTTAGAAAACTAAAACTATAAAATATTAGACTATAAAAAATAGATATCAATGAAAATTGAATAAAAATATAAGCTAAAACTTTTAGAAGACATGGTGGAGAAAAAAGAAATAGTTTTGCATGATCATTGCAGCTTCCTAACAAAATTAAATGCGAATCAACATAAAACATGGATTATATATGCAGTGATATACAACATCAATAAGACTTTCAATAAGAACTATATAAATTCTCTGGTTAAAAAAAAATATCAAAATCTTAGCAAGAAATTTTTTCTCTAAATTAAATGTATATGTACGTCAAAGTTGGATAATTCGATATGTGTCATTGTTATTATTTTACCTAATAATTTTCAATATTTTATAAATTAAAATATGAGAAAAATACACATTATTTATTAAATTCTCTTATAAAAAAAGAAAATTTCTGTAAATATATTATAGTTTTAATAATTTAAAAAATAGTAGCTAAAAAAATCAAATTGCGTGTAGCGCAAATTATTTACCTAGTATAATATATAAAAGTTGATAGCATAGTGCATTAAGGACGTCCACATAAGATTAAAAAACTCGATCTGATTGGTCCATATCAGCACATTCATTAAATAAAAAATGTTAAGTATGATTAAGACAGAAAAACTTGATTTAATTAGTCCACGTCAGCTTTTAAATCAAACCAAAAATTATTAAGTATAATTAAAACATTATACGTTAATTTAACAAATTATGTCCAACAAAAAAAATAAATTCAATATGCTGGATCCAACTGAATATATTTATTAAATTAGAAAATGTTAATATAGTTTAAAAATTTAAAATTAAAAAAAAATTAACAATTAACAATACATGTATAAAAAAAATTAACCATTATTAATTATTAATTTTAAAAAATCTACAACAACTCGATTTAACAATTAAAACAATGAAAACTGAATAAAAATATAACATAAAACTTTTGAAAGATATGATGAAGAAGGAAAAAATAGTTTTGCATGATCATTACAACTTCTTAACAAAATTAAATGCGAATCAACATGAATCATGAATTATATATACAGTAGTACACAACATCAATAAGATTTTCAATAAAAAACTAAATATTTGAATACATAAACCTTCAAAAAAGAAAGAGCTATAAAAATTCTATGGAAAAGAGAAAATAATATCAAAATCTTAGCAAGATTATATTTCTCTAAATCAAATGTATATGTATGCAAAGTTGGATAATTCGATAGGTGTCATTATTATTATTTTACCTAATAGTTTTTTAAAAATTTATAAATAAAAATAGGATAAATTACATATTATATATTAAATTATCTTATATAAATGAAATTTTTTATAAATAAAATAGTTTTAAAAATATATAGTAGCTAAAAAAAATAAACTAAAATATTAATACAGACTGGCACTTAACATGAGTTATATACCTAGTTTAATTAAAAAAAATATTATTTTTTTCGAACTAAAGAACCGAACTACCTGAATTTACCCGACGTTAACCAAATTTAACCGATTTAGAACCAAGAAACCAAAAACTTCCGTTAAATTTACCCGAACCATAGTTTGATTTCGGTTATTTTGGTACAATTTTCTCAAACTATCCGACTAACCGAGCTACCCAAATGAGAATACCCGAACTAACCGAACCAGACTGAGAGAGACGTTTTTAAGAAAGGTACCAATGTTTTAAGGCAGTCCCAATCGTCGACAAGCGGTTTACCCGAAGGTCGGACTTTATTTAGCACCGAAGGACCTTCTAAAATGCCAAACAAGAGTTCCCCAATCAACTGAACGCTATTGTCAACATGAAGCCTGTGTGACATTGCTTCAAGGACTTGCTTCTGAGCTTCAGCTTTTCTTGCAGAACCTTCTGGTGCCTTTTGATACTACATGATAGATTAAGTAATCAGACACAATATAAAGAAATTACAGAGTGCTTAACATTTAATATAAAAAAAACCTTATCCCAGAAATGAACAAGATCTGCGTCACGTTGGTTTGTAACTCTTAAAGGCAGCTTTAGTGAATTCTCATCCACAAATGTGACGTTTTCATTGTCTGGGTTTGTTCCCATGTAAAGGACAAGCTTCTCCTTGCTGAGTCCTACATCTCCAAACTCCATGACATGAGAACCATAACTCGAATCAGAGCCTGCCGTCCTCTTTTTCACCTGAAACAATGATTCAAATTCACTCACAATCTCTCAATGGATCACAAATACACACAAAAAAAAAACTTGAATCTTACTTACCAGTTCATATTGCTGGTGCAAACTCTCTGTCTGTAAATTGTGTTTATCACTGAAAGCATTGAAAACAAAGAAATAAGAAACTTATATAAAGATCCTCAACAAGATTTGCTCCTACTCTTATAAGTAGTTATGTTTGTAAATTGTGTTCATCACTGTGCATTGAAAACAAAGAAACAAGAAACCTTCATAGAGATACTAATCAAGAATATCCATCCAAGAAACATACCTATCTTCCATCCAAGAAACACTGTATAAGTCACCCAAACAGGTCTCATACTCTGAAGGAAGACTAGGATCATCTCCAGGACAATAAGTACCCCAGCTGCTTTCTTCTGCGTTCGATGCAGTTGTCGCGTAAATGTTTAAATCCTCTGGCAAAAGACCTTCGAAAATACTTCCAGATTCACATGCCTCTAAATAAAACACCTGAAAAAGAAGATACAGTCAAGCCACAAATCACAGAAAACTAACAAAGAAACCATTTTCAGAACAATCCTGCGCATACCAAGCTCTTATAGGTTCCTGAGGCATGTTTTTTCTTCAAGACATCGTTGAGATCGTTTGCATATAGATAAGGAGAAGTTGGCATCCCTGAAAACAACCATGGAGACTGAATCATCAAACTAGAAGTTGGTTTTAATAGGAGAAACAGAATATAGCAGATACTAGAACTCACCGAGCACTCCTGGACCACCGTGATCGCTATAGTATATGAAGATATGATCGTTTGGACCGCTATTTACAACCTTAGCACTTCCTCCTTTAAGAGCCGTTTTATTTCCAAGGATCACAGCAAATAAGTTACCAACGTTAACATCTTTTCCAGTGTAATCCTGCCACAAGAAATTCCAAAACATAAACAAATCACAAAGACTTTTCTCGTTTACTCGAAGCTAAAAATCAAGACAAAGCGTAAAGAAGAGAGAAACTTTGGGGACTCCATTGTAAACATCATCTCCATTAGGACTGTTGATAATGATTCCAGGTCTTGGGTTCTCTTTGTTCTTTGCAATATCATCATACATAAACACTACAATATTATCTTCTTTGACTCCACCTTTCCTTAGAAGCTGATAAGCATGACAAACATCTGCCTGAAATTTTCAAAACTCATATTAGACTCTACAAAAGTCAAATCTTAGTCTCACAAAAGCTTCAAAACTCATACAACTCGTACTCAAGTGGGAACCACTAGATCACCACCATTTGGTTTACAAAGACAACTTAAGAACCCATATAGTCAAATTCGAATTTTTTTAATAATATCAACATCAAGAGAGAATCGTGTCAATGGTACCTGATGTCTGTAATTCCAGTATCCGCTAGATCCGGCGACGAGAACAGCCCACTTATTACCGGCGGGAGAATCATCGCCGTCGTCGTTCTCAGCCTTACGGAAGAATTTAGAAGCTTGAGAAGGTAGCCTGATGACGTCACCAGAAACGGCGACTAGCGAGATGAAGAAGGCGAGAAAGGAAACGGTGACGGTGACGGTGACGCGTGACATGTTTTTGGATTATTCTCCGGCGAAAGTGGTGACGTGGATAAGAAGAATCTTTTGATTAGCCGGGGCCTGCTATTTATGAATTTATAAATATTCATTATTCAATGAATGTTTTCTGACTGCAAAATAACATCTGTCCCCTGACTTTGTTTAAAGAAACACGCAAGTTTATCAGATGTTCTGTTTTTGTTAAATCATTAAAAGTTCTGTTTTAAAATATTTTCTTTTCCAAATTTACATACGTTAAAGCAAACGTCACGAGAAACACAAACTTGACAAATTGCTAAAATACTTTAGCAAAAGAAAAAACAAATTGTTAAAATAAAAACAAAACAAAAAATTTAGAAAAATACCTTCAAATACACCTAATTTAAGTTTATGTTCCTAAAATACATGATGCTTTTAAAGTTGACATGTTCTAACATTTTTCATTAAACTATGACCATATTAACCTTATAAGATAAAACGAATCAGAATTCATCGAAACAAAGCTTTCTGAATTCTCAGACGGAAAATTGACGGAAAGTTCAACTTTAGTTGACAAATCTGAAACGAATGTTATTGAATCCAGTGCTGATGTAAACTTGAATATCCATAATCAATCGACCACTGATTCAAATCCCGACGCAGAAGAGCCCAAGAGTAGAGAATCCTCCGTTCCTACGATTGCTGTCACAGAGGGACCAGGGGCGAAGGATCTCGCCGGTGGAAAAAGGTTAAGTGAACCTCTCTTCTTGAGAAAGATATTATTGGATGAATCTGGTGACACATTTGGCTTATGACCTTGAGGTAGTGATATATGTTCTTCTCTCCATTTTCTTCGATTGTTATACTTCTTGCTTATCGAATCTGATCCATTTCGCTTTTCTCTGATCGTGATCTTTAGATTTTCTCCTGCTCTTGCTTGGTGGATCTTGGATTTATATTCTTTTCTGATGAGATTACTTTTGGCAAAAGGGATAAAGATATTGGTCTCCACGCTCGTGTGAGAGCACATAAGAGCAAGGTTCGTATCAAAGGCAAAACATGTCAGATTACTTTAAAATTAAAAGTGAGTTTGCCTTATCCCTTTTCTGGTTTGCAGGTTTCGAGACCTTATAAGCAAGATTGTCTGTGTATTGTTATGTGGATTCTGTATTGTTGTTTTAGTTATTGAGATTGGTATTTGATTGGTTTGAACGTTCTTGATTAGTGAGAGAGGCTCGGAGTGATGCTCCACACGGTGGTGGTAGAAACGGAGGAGCTGGCCGTGGTCGTAGTGGTTACGATTTCAGACGTGGTGATGGTCCTATGAGGAAGGGAGAGGAGACATTTCAAAGTCTTCTTATGAGAGGCGTGATGGTCAACGTGGTGAAGATGGTAAAGATGAACGTCCTCGAAGAGCATATGAGCATCGTAGTGGAACTTTGAGTATCGAAGAACTTTGGCCTAGAATGATTTTTCTACTTTTGCTCTGAACAAGAGGGGATGCGGAAGATGGCAAAGATGATAAACAAGACGCTTGTATTAACTTATATCTACCTACTGATCTACATTCTACTCTCTTCAGGAGTTATTCTGTACAACAAAGTGATTCAAATGCTATACTTTATTAATGTTTCTAATTCTTACGCAGATATGTGCAAGTTTGCAAAAGCAATGTTGGATTTTACATTATATAGGCTGTATCTCCGATACAAGAATTCAATGTTCAATTGTATGTCGTGTATCTGAGATGAAATTATAGCAAGAGGTATTTCCTTAACAAAAAGTGTATGAATTGTATTCTTTCCAGTTCTCTCTCTACGTAAGGATGATGGTATTGTGATATTAACATCAGATGATAAATAAGCAAAGGCTAAATAAGGATGATAGTATTGTGATATTAACATCAGATGATAAATAAGCTAAATATATTATGAATCACTCCTAAATATATATGAATCATTCCTAAATTATGAAGCCTTTCCTAAATATATATGAACCATTCCTAAAGCAACAGGTAGAAGCATATCTCTTCTGGTTTGGATTAAGGCTTTTGACATAAACTTTGATTGCTGTATTGACTCTTATATTTTTGCAATGGTCTATATAGATTACAGGAAACGTTGTACCAATTTGCTAAAAAGTTTGAATCAGTTTACAAAGCTTCAAGAGCGAAGAATATTAATTTTCATGCTCTAGCTTCTTAGTCGTCTTCTCTATGTAAACAAGAGACTTTTTGTGAGAGAACAAATATTTTAGACAAGTTGATGTTTTTACCTTACAAGACATGACCTCCCTCATTTGGTTCTGAATCAGTTGTGTCTACACCAGTCGATACGTCCACATGAGTAAACTCCTTCAACTTTTATTCTAGGATTTAAAATGACCGTCCTAAACTTTTAAAATAGTTCAAATAGATACCAAAACAATTTCGAATATTCATCTAGAAAGGCTTGCTAAATCATTTTTTCTATGTCAAATTCTATTTAGGAAGACTTCCTAAATCATTTCTTTTTGATACTTATAATTTACAAACGCTTACAAAAACTTTTTTTTTGCTAGTTATAATTTAAGAAGCTTTCTAAATCATTTTCTTTTTTCCAAGTATAATTTAGAAAGCATTCCTAAATTATATAACACTAGCAAGTCTTTCCAAATTATACAAATAATAAAATGATTTAGGAAATTTTCCTAAATCAATTTCTTTTTACTAATTGTAATTTAGAAAGGCTTCCTAAATCAATTTAAATCAATTTAGGAAGGCTTCCTAAATAATAAAATGATTTGGGAAGACTTCCTAAGAAGCTTCCTTCAGCTGTGTGCACTGAATTTAAGAAGTTTTCTAAATCATTTTCTTTTTTCCAATTCCTAAATTATATAACACTAATATGTCTTCCTAAATTATATAAATAATAAAATGATTTGGGAAGGCTTCCTAAATCAATTAGTTTTTGCTAATTATAATTTGGGAAGGCTTCCTAAATCAATTTCTTTTTGCTAATTATAATTTGGGATGACTTCCTAAATTATTTTATTTTTGCTAATTATAATTTAGGAAAGCTTCCTAGATCATTATCTTTTTATTAATTATAATTTAGGAAGACTTCCTAAATCATTTTATTTTTGCTAATTATAATTTACAAACCATAAAATTATATAACTGTATTTTATCGTAAAAAAAAATAATTTTGCTATGAATGAAAGATAAGTTCAGAACACATAGATTATCAAAATGGGTAATTGCATTTGATTTAATTTGTTAATATTTAGGAAATCCCTCTGAATTATGTATAACTGATAATATTTTCTTGAAGGAAATTTGAATACTTTTTAAAAGTTTGTAAATATGAGAGTTGATGATGAATACTGTTAACTCCTTTTGTATAATGCAGTGCGCTCACATTTAAGTTTTTGTAAAATAACTTGCCTTTGAATATGCACATAAACATATTAAGATGGTAAGCTCAAGAACATTGATCTTTGGTAAGCTCAAGAACATTGAACATAGAACTTTTTTGTCCATTGACTTAGTTGTAAATATAATTATATATAAATGTAAATATGAAGTTTTGCATCATTTTATACAATTATTAAAATTTAAGAAACCAGCCTACATATTTAGGAAGACTTTACTAAAACACATTAATACAAACTTTTGCATATTTATATAATTCAAATGTAAGAAGTTTTAATACACATTTCGGAAAACCTTCTAAAAACATATAAATATAAAATGTTTATAGTTAAACAGGATTGTTTGCTTGATCTCTAAACCAAAATTTCATATTTCATGTAGAGATTGGGTTTTGGTATACATCTGACGTAAATCCAACAACAACAAAAAAAGAACTTGAGAATGTTTATGCAACCGCACAAAAACCCAAAAAAATGACTAATACGAATGCATCTTAACAAGTTCGTAAGAAAATTGTGTTAAGTCTAAAAGAGGGACCTATCCTTTTAGCCATCCAATGAGATTGGCAACTACCTCTCGGATTCACTGATCTCGTATGCTCTACGTCATCCCAATAAGGCATCAATACTCAGAGATTAAGTGTGATGGCGATGCTGTAAAAGCTTCTCTACCATGGAAAAGTGCTTCTCCGAGGTGTTCATGAGAGATCCAAGCCCCTCCACTATGTAAATAAGAATTTCTCGAGTTAGCAATCAGATTGATTTTCACGGTACATTGATTGGGTTTGTGCCAGCGATCCGAAAATGAAGCCTTAGTTCTGATGTGGAGAGCCATTTCAGCAATTGGATCATTGATTTTTCTCCATTCCTCTACTTCTTCGAGGGACCGACGAACCAGAGACCCTTGATTTCTCGTGACTTTTCCAATCTCCCTTAATAAAAAAAAAAGAGAGTAAACATTAGACTACTGTCAGTTATATAGCAAAGTAAAGAGAGAATGTGAAAATCAACCTGCTAGAGGGAGATTGGAAAAGTAAATTTACTGGAAACTTCATGAATTTGGGCAATTTCTTTGGCGATTTCTCGCCAGATCCGGCAAACAACATTCTTCCACCTCTCTAAATATTAGGAATCTTTTCTTCCTGAATGTTTTTAAGAAGCTTCCTAAATTGTTAGAAACAGTTTTGTTTCAAATTTAAACCACCATTAATTACTTGCATACAAATCTGTAACAGTGAATAGTATTTAAGTGTCAAAATCACTTTAAAATTAAGGTATGAAGCAAGATAAGTAAGAATCTTTTTTTGGAAAGCTTAACTAGAATAATAGGAATCTTTTCTCAAATTTTAAAAGATCTTCCTAAATAATTAAGAACAGATTTGATATTCCTTATACATAAGATCTACAATCAAAGGAAGAAGAACATTCTACAAACAAAATCTAAAGGAGAAACTTTGCAAACATCATAGAATTTCATCTCCAAATCATAGCATTTTGAAGATCACTAGACAAGAAACGTATAAGTGGAAGTGTAGAACCAAAAATAAAAGCTACTTTAACAAATGTCAAAGAATTCCATCTCCAGATCAGAGTATTTTTTCAGTGAAATTCTCAAATGGACAATAATGATTTCAAAATCTAATCCAAAATCTAAAATCCTAAATCAGACAAGTAAGGATCAAGCTATTCAACAAATAATAAGAAAGATCAGAAGAGAAAGTACAACTGAAAAGAAAATGAGTACACACTCAAAGAACAAAATAAAATGCTGCATACCAAAGAAGAATCATCTCTGAAAGTTAGCTTGGTCGCAGGTCTCTGACACTACTGTTCAAAACTAACAATATAAAGGAAGAGATGAAACTGAAGAAACTGGAAGAGCCGATAGATCGAGGAAATCGGAAGAGACGAGAGAGAGGAGAAATTGGAAGAAACGAGAGTGGGGCATCTCAGGCAACAATCTAGCCTCCATTCAGTTGTCGTATTCGCCGTCCAGGCCGTATACCTACGACGGTGCATCGCCATTATTGTCTTCTTTGTTGTCTTTGAGGGCGAGAGAGTTTGCCATTATAGGTGATTAGATTTTTAAGTTTCTAATAGGTAACAGTTGTTTTGGGGCAATATCAGAAGTTTGTTAGTAAATATGTTAGGAGGTGGAAATTTTGTTAGATGTAGTTTAATAGTGTCCTCTAAACTTAATAAAAGTGTATATATGAGAATTACCCAAGAATTTATAACAAGTGGATATTGTTTTTAACTTGACAATTGGTAATCAAGTTTTTTTTTTCTGATTGCTTAGTGAATAAGAAACAGAGAATTCAAATTACCTTCAAATCAAATTTCTCGGTTTAAGTTTGTGTAATTTAACGTGGTTTTACTTACACCAGATGTGTTGAATTGTGGGGTTTAACGGAACAAAACAAAACGCTTAGAGATGTTAGAGACCAGAAGCGGTTAAAAAATATTCAACTTTATATGAAACCAAAAATATCTACAATACAAAATTTTGTTTTTTAAATTATCTAAATTTGATTTTTAAAATAAATTTACAATAATTATAGATGATAAACTTAAAATTTTCATTAAAATGTTAAAAAAAAGAGAAGACACTAAAGAAGAGAAACAAGTTTATCAGTGAAAATATTTTTGTATGAATTGAAATAAAATGTTCAGCAAAATGTGGTGTTAACGTTAAGAATTTGGCAACTAATTTAAAACGGAGCAACACTATTAGTCTTAATTATTTGATATTTACAATTTTTAACATTGTCATTTAAATCAACTTTATTGTTAAACAATATTTTTGAAAACAGTAATGTATAATGATACATGTATACATAAGTATATAATTTTTGTCTAACATGGATTTGTAAAATAATTGAGGTTTAAAAAACAGATCGATATATAGAAAAGGTCTCTCGCTAATTTTTTAATAATTGGGTCGTAGGTTAATGTTTTTAAATGCTTAAGATCATTTGCATTGGTGATGAGTCTCTAATCTATTTAATAATAATATTTTTAATATAATTTAATAAAATTATTTAATTTTATATCATAAATAAAATTTAGATCAATAATATGTAGACACATATAAGATGAGTCTCTTATATAGTCTCTTATAATTTTTTATATGAAAGACTCTTTCTTTTCTCTTTTTTTTTCTTTTTTAAATTTATTAATATTATATTATGAGAAATTGTGTGAGCGACTACCACTGTTGATGGTCTAA